AATTTAGAATAACTTAACTCTTGGAAAACTTAACCGAATAATAGATATAATACCTATTACTAACTGTTCCAATACAATAATATCCTGTAAACACATTCCTTGGCAAAAAGGCAAATTCAGACACCGATTCTTACATGCAATTCTCCAATCCAGGAGGAAAAAACATTAAGAGAAGGATCATAGAGAATAACAACTAGGAGTCATTCACTGAAGCTCCAATTCTTTGAGACCTCAAAGGCTTCTGCTACTAAAAACAAACAAAACCTAAAAATCCTAAACTGAGAGTGGGCCACACCCATTTAGGCTGCTTCCATTGTTCCAATTTTACAGAAAAAAAACCCAAGGCCTCAAAGTTGTTTACTTAAATCATCTTCAGTAGCTAGTTCGCCACCTCAGCCTTACAACCTCTCAAAAAAAAACGAAAGAAATAACTTTTTAAAGTGACAACATTCTCGCACAGTAAATAAATCAAACAGTTATTGTAGTACAGAGATTGAGTATTTGGGGAGGCTAGGACTGGTCTGTAAAAGAACTCGACAGCTGACAGGGTATCTTGAAGTAAATCTTTAACATATCGAAAGGGTAAATAATAATCTATCCAAACATCAAGCCCTCAAGCAAGGTATGATGTAACAAAGCAAGAGATAAAGGAAAACCATTCAGTGCAGCAGGTAGTGAGGAGAATACTGTGAAGGAAGACTCCAGAAAAGTATTCCTAATGAATTCCAGAAATTAAGAAGTTGGAGAATTGAGAAAAGAAGCACAGACACCAAGAGTTGCTCCTGTACATTAATTGTCCAGTCTGAGCTGAACCAGTTCTCACTACATGATGCAGTGTATGTTATTACTGCAGTGAAAATATTATACCTTCTTTTAAACACTTACAAGAAACTCAACATCCCCCATATCGATGACACTTAATTTTTATTCACTTGATTGGATAGTGAAAACTCTCAATTACTAAGTGTAGAGAAAGAATATCTTTGAAAATTTTCATTCTTTGATAAGCGATGCCTTTATTCTATGCCAGTCTGTTGTGCCATCAGCGTTTGAGAATATCCATCAAAGCAGAGGATGCTAGTGGGCAACAAGGGCTGATAACATGACAAATGACATTGGCAGCAGCCCATTCAGACAGGTGCAGCATTCGAATCGAGACAGGTGTGGTCACCATGGCCACCAAGAGGTACGGGGAGTAGTCTGGAAGAGCCCTGCGGTACTCACAACTGTGTGCTACCAATCATTGTTTTCCCTCGCTGACATTATACAACCCTCGATATCTGGCAGAGCCCTTTCCAACAACTCCACAGAAAGCAGCTGAAGAGGACAAGGTGGCAAGAGGAAGACAACCATCAACACATTCTTTTAGTACCAGGCTGATCACAGTCTGACTGCTGGACCAATCAACACTGGCCATTTTGGAAAGGGATAAGGATAGTGTAGAAATTAAGTGTCTAAACTGGGGGAAGCCAATTTCCAGATCATTAGACAGGACCTGGCGAACATGGACTGGACTGGGAGCAGCCACTTGCAGGGAATCTAAATTGGGAAAATGGGAGTCTTTTAAAAGCAATATTGAGAGAATTCAGGGCCAATGTGCTCCTCTAAGAATGAAGGGCAAGTGCAGTAGGTCCAGGGAACCCTGGATATTGAGAGTCTAGCAAAGAAAAAGCATTAAAGACAGGGGATGTCCTTCATGTGTATGAGGCTGCTTAAAAAGAAAATTAGGAGGGCAAAGAGGGGCCACAAAATATCTTTGTCAGACAGGATCAAGAAAAGCCCCAAGGCACTCCATAAGTGTAAGAGGATTACCAGGGAAAGGATGGGACCTATTAGAGGCCAAAGGGGCAACCTGTGCATGGAGGCATTAGATGTGGGTGAGGTCTTATAAGAATACATCTCATTTGTATTCACAGAGGAGAATGACATAGCAGCCAGAGATTTCAGTTGGGTTGTGAGGTTCTAGAACACATTAAGATTGCTAAGGAAGATGCATTAGACATTTTAACAGCTGCATAAATCCCCAGGGCTGGTCCAAAAGGTAACAGCCCACGGGATCCAAGGCAAGTTGGCAAACTGGATCTAAAACTGGCTTACAAACAGGAGGTAAAGGGTGATGGTGGAGGATTGTTTTTGTAATTGTAATTAAGCTTGTTATTTGTTATTTACATTAATCACTTGGATGTGAATGTAGAAGTATTATTAGTAAGCTTGCAGACGACATAAAAATAGATAGTGTTGTTCATAGTAAGGAAGATGGTCTCCGGCTAGTGTCTGATATTGATCTGCTAGCAAATTGGGCAGAACAATAGCAGATGGAACTTAAAACCAATTTTGGGAAGTCTGATAAGGGAAGGACCCAATGAATGAGGAAAAAAGGCACCTTGGTGTACAAATCCAAAGATCAATGAACGTGCCAGCACTGGTAGACAGGGTGGTAAGGAAAGCCTACAGGATGCTTGCCTTTACTAGCCAGGGTATAGAACATAGCAAGAGACACAAACAGAAATTGCCAGAAAAGTTCAGCAGGTCTGGCAGCATGTGTGCAGAGAAATCAGAGATAATGTTTAGGGTCCAATGGCCCTTCCTCAGAACTGCTCTTAATAGAGTTTTTTGAGGAAGTTACCAAAAATGTTGATGATGGCAGAGCAGTAGACATGGTATATTTGGATTTTAGTAAAGACTTTGACAAGGTTCTGCACAGTAGACTAATTAGTAAAGTTAAGTCACATGGAATTCAGGGCGATCTTGCCAATTGGATACATAATTGGCTTAACAGCAGGAGACAGAGAGTAATGGTGGAGGGTTGCTTTTCGGCCTGGAGGCTTGTGAGCAGTGGTATTCTGCACAGATCGGTTCTGGGTCCTCTTTAGTTTGTCATTTATGTAGATGATTTGGATGAGAATATAGAAGGCATGGTTATTAAGTTTGCACTTGATACCAAAATTGGTGGCATTCTTGACAGTGAAGAAGATATTCTAAGATTACAAAGGGATCTTGCAAACGGGTCAATGGGCTGTAAAATGGCAGATGGAATTCACTCTGGATAAATGCGAGGTATTGCACTTTGGTACAGCAAACAAGGGTAGGGCTTATACAATTAATGGTAGGGTCTCGGACAGTGTTGTAGAACAGAGGGACCTAGCGGTAAAGGTACATTATTCAATAAAGTTTGCATCACATATAGACGGGATAGTTAAAAAGGCGTTTGACATGCTTGCCTTCATTGCTCAGTCTTTTGAGTATAGGAGTCAGGACGTTATGTTGCGGTTGTACAGGACATTGGCGAGGCCTCTTCTAGAATACAGTTCTGGTTGCTTAGTTATCGGCAGGATATTACCAAGCTGGAGAGGGTTCAAAAGAGCTTTAGCAGAATGTTGCTGGGTATAGAAGGTTTGAGATATAAAGAAAGGCTGGGACTTTTTCAACTGGAGCACAAGAGATTAACAGGTGACCTGATAGAAGTTTATTAAATAATGAGGTATAGATAGAGTTAATGGTAGTTGTCTTTTCCCTAAGACGGGGAATTTCAAGACTAGGGGGTACATTTTTAAGGTGAGAGTAGAGAGATTTAAAAAAAAACGTGAGAAATTTTTTTTAAAAGTGTATGATGCGCTTGCGGAATGAACTTCCTTATGAAGTCGTGGATGCAGGTACAATTACGTTTAAAAGACATTTGGATGGACATGAATAGGAAAGGTTTGAAGGGATATGGGCCCAAAGCAGGCAGGTGGGATTAGTTTAGTTTGGGATTATGTTCGGCATGGACTTGTTGGACCAAAGGATCTGTTTCCATGCTGTATGACTCCATGACTCTAGCGCTGCCAGACCAGTTGAGCTTCTCCAGCAATTTCTATTTTTGTTTCTGATTTCCAGCATCTGAGTTCTTTCGGTTTTTATTGGAGCAAGAATGTCTTGATGCAATTTTATAAAACAATGGTCAGGCCATAGATGGAATGCCATCTCTAGTCATCACACTACTGAAGGACTGCACAGGAGAGGATGCAAAGGAGATTCACCAGGACATTGCGCAGGATGAAAAGCCTCAGTGATGAGAGACGGGATGGGTTAGTTTTCTTTTTCTTGGAGCAGGGGAAGCTGAGGGGGGATTCTGATTGAGGTGCACAAAATTATGAGAGGTAAAGGCAGAGTAAATTGTTAAAATCTCTTCCCCATGACAAAGATCAGAGGGCATATGTTTAAGGTGAGGAACGGTTTAGAGGAGATCTGAGAAAGAATTTTTTCGCCAAGAGGGTGGTTGAAATATGGGAAGTGCTGCCTGAGAGGGTGGTGCAGGCATATACACTCATAACATTTAAGAAGCATCTGGATGAGTTGTTAAAATGGCAGAGCCTAGTAGGTATGGAGCAAATGCAGGTAAACGGGATTAGCATAGTTTGGTGTTCATTAGTCGTCATAGACACAGCGTGTGTCGAAGAGCCTGTTTCTATGCTGTAGGACTCTACATTAATCCCAGATGCTGTTTAACAACAATCCCACACCTCACCTTTCCTGTCACTGATCATCTTACTGGCATGTTAGACACAACACTCTGAAAACACCAGCACCAAACAAACTCAAGTTACAATGTTCTACACACCCCCTCCCCCAAAAACTCTCTTTGATCCCTTTAGCGCTGAGAATTATCCTAGCACTTGCCCCTGCACCTGCTAGCAGCCCCCCACGTGACTTCAGCCCCTGCTTGCACCTCCCCCATTCATCTGCTTTCTTGCCCTCTCTCACACAAGGCCCATTTGCCTGCACCCACTGTGTGCACACATTGCTGCTCTGTTGACTGCTTCACTGTCACAGAGTGTCACCATCTTTCAGTGAGGAAACTGCAGATGGCTGAGGAGGGCTGAACCAGCCTTTCCTCACAACGGAAGGAAATCGATGCTTATTGAAACTACTGTACAATCCTTTGATTAATAACTCATGCAGATAAATTACCGCTAAACAGTAATAAATGCTGCAGATTAAATGAAAGCAAGAATAGATACCTTTCCATCAGTGATGTATCGGCATGTAATTTTAAGAAACTTCTCAGTGAAGGCCTCCTCATCCTCGGACTTTGACGACCGGCTGCAGCTGTGTATTGGTGAGCAGCTCGAGTCTTTGAGGTGAGCATGTTCCACATCCTGAAATCATACAAGTTTCTCCAGTTCTTATTGAATCTCAGAATCTGCAATTCCAATCTTATACCAACCAGGGAATGTAACCAACACAGACCAAAGATGGAAAGGCAAGTTAAATTGGAGAATCTCATAACAAAGAAAAGATTGTTCAATGATTTTTAATTCTCTCCGATTTGGACACCAATTTCAATCAGGGGAGAAGTTGGAGCAGCTGTGGGGCAAGTGCAAGGAAAAAGGGGGAAAGTAAGGGGGGGGATGCCAAGGGGTGAGGAAATTAGAAAATAGGAGCAGGTGGTGGTCACTTGTCCCTTCAAGCCTGTTCCACCATTCAATACGATCATGACTGATCATCCAACTCAGTACCCTGTCCCTACCTTTTGACTCCTTTAGTTCGAAGAGCTACGGCTAAATTATTCTGAAAGACATTTTATCTTTTGGCCTCAACCACTTTCTGTGGCAGAGAATTCCACAGGCTCACCACTTTCAGGGTGAAGATATTTCTCCTCGTCTCAGTCCTAAATAGAACATACAACACAGAACAGTACAGCACAGCACAGTACAGGCCCTTCGGCCCACAGTGTTGTGCCAAACTTCTACCCTAAACCTAAGATCTATCTAACCTCCACCCCTACCTTATACTATCATCCATATGCCTATCTAATAGCCGTTTAAATGCTCCTAATGAGGCCGACTCCACTACCCTCTCCGGCAATGCATTCCACGCCCCTACCACTCTTTGAGTGAAGAACCTACCTCTGACGTCTCCCTCCACTCACTTTAAAACTATGCCCCCTCGTAATAGCAACCTCCACCCTAGGAAGAAGTCTCTGGCTGTCCACTCTATCTATACCTCTGATCATTTTGTACACCTCTATCAAGTCACCTCTCATCCTTACCTTGCAGCATTGAACTGTGGCCCCCATGTTCTTGACTCCCTGGTCATCCTGTGTCTGCTCTGTCTCGCCCTGTTAGAACTTTTTTTTGTTTTTTTTAAAAGATATCTCTGAGATCTCCACATTCTTCTAAACTCCAGTGAATAGTCGTAACTGATCCAGTCTCTCTTTAAATGTCAGTCCTGCTATGCCAGGAATCAGTGTGGGAAACCTTTTTCTAGCTAGAACATCTTTCCCCAGATAAGGGGATCACAATATTCCAGTTGTGGTCTCACCACAGCCCTGTACATCCCTTTCTTGAATCCTCTTGCTCTGAAGGCCAATATACTATTTTCCTCCTTAATCATCTGCTGCATCTGCATACCTACTTTAAGGGGTAGTAAGTGTTGAGGTGTAGGGAGTGGTGATCGAGAGGGAGTAGAATGGTGAGGGCGGGGGGAAATACAGACTTAACATTACAATTGTAAACAGTGTGCAGGGACAGATAGGGTTGGGGGTTCATGTGCATTGATCTTTGAAGTTGGCAGGACTCATGGAGAGAGTGGTTAACAAAATACATAGGATTTTCGGCTTCATTAAAAAAAACTGTGCATCAAGTACAAAAGAAGGGAAGTTATGTTAAACTTTCATAGACTCTGATTAGTCTACAAATGAAGCAGTGTGTCCAGTTCTGGTCACTGCACTTCAGGAAGGATGTCAAAGTCCTTGAGAAGACACACAGGAAATTTATTGGAATAATTTCAAGGTTGAGGCATGGTAGTTCAAGGTTTGGGTGGATAAACTGGTGTTGTTCACCTTGGGGTAAAGAAGATGGATGGTAGATTTGATAGAGGTGTATAAGACTGTGACATGTTCGCATAAGGGAGACAAAGAGAACATGTTCCCTTTCATTGAGGGTACAAGGACTTGGGTCACTAATCTACTTTTTTTTTTGACAAGAAGATTTTTTTGAACAGAGTGAATAGTAGCAACCTGGACCTTATGGGGGTTGACACAGTTGACCAGAAGTTGCTGAGACGTCGCTCATTTGCATTCTGGGAGTGGACTTCACTGTAAGTGTGAGTGTGAAGGGCATCAAGGAAGAACATGGTGTTAAGGAACGGTCAGCCTCAAACATTATATTACTGTAGTGTTTTCCATCCCTCCATCCCCCTCTAACCCACAAAAAAAAGAAGCAAAATTCAGAGCTGAGGAAGATCGACAATGAGAGTTCTCATGGGTAAAGGAACATGAGCCTAAACAGTTTTTGGAAACTGTTGTTGGTGAGTGGCAGGTAAGTTCTGAGAAATTGTCATTGGAGCAGAGACCAACACAAGCTGCAATTTAACATTAAAAGTCATAGAATCAGAGAATCCCTACAGTGTGGAAGCAGGCCATTCAGTCCATTGGGTCCGCACTGACCTTCTGAAGAGCATCCCACCCAGACCCACCCCCCACCCCATCCCTGCATTTCCCCCCCGAGACTGCGGGCAATTTAACATAGCCAATCCACCTAACCTGCAATCTTCAGACTGTGGGAGGAAACCGGAGCACCCGGAGGAAACCCACGCAGACATGGGGAGTATGTGCAAACTCCACACAGACAGTTGCCCAATGGTGGAATTGAACCCAGATCCCTGACGTTGTGAGGTGGCAGTGCTAGCCACTGAGTCACCATGCCGCCTGCATATTTGACATTATAAGGATTAATTAATTTAAAGAGGTAAAACATGGCAAGTCAGCTCCAAATCATAAGCTGCTCCTCTTGCTTGATGTGGGAAGCTGGGCATATTTCCTGTGCCTGGGACCTGCATGTGTGCAAGAAGCGTCTCCAGCTGCAGCTCCTGGAAGCCCAAGTTTCGGAGTTGCAGCAGCATCTGGGGACACTGTGTAGCATTCATGAGGCGGAGAGTATCATGGATACCACATATAGAGAGACGGTCACACTGCAGAGCGAGATTACACAGGCAGGAAGATTACACCAGAGCAGGTGGGCTAAGAAGGCAGGGCAGGACTCTTCTGTGGCTATTCCCATGCAAAGCAGATATACCGTTTTCAACAGTGTTGAAGGGAATGGCCTCTCAGGGGATAACTGCGGCAGCCAAATTCCTGGCACCATGGTGGGCTCTGCTGCAACGGGTGAAGGTGCAACACCTGCCCATTTACCACCTCCCTCCCCAGTATCCAAGGGCCCAAACATACCTTCCAGGTGAAGCAAGAGTTCACTTGCACTTCTCTGAATTTAGTCGACTGCATTTGCTGCTCACAATGTGGTCTCCTCTACAGTGGGGAAAGAAAGCGTGGACTGTGAGACCACTTTGCAGAACATCTACGTTCTGCTCACAAAAAAGGCCCTGAGCTTCCAGTTGCTGGCCACGTTACACACCACCCTGTTCCCTAGCCAACATGTTTGTCTCTGGCTTGCTGCAGTGTTCCAGCGAGGCTCAACGCAAGCTGGAAGAACAACACCTTATTTTCCGCTTGGGGACCCTGCAGCCCTCTGGACTCAATATCGAGTTCAGTAATTTTAGGGCCTAAACTCTCCCATGTCCTAGCCCCCTACCCCACACACCACACCTTTGTCTATCCAACTGCTCTTCTCTCTCTTCGGGCTCTATCCTTTATCCTATCATTTACTCCCTACCCCATCCCCCTCCCTGTTTCTGCATATAAACCAATGTTTTCCCAGCTACCATCAGCTCTGAGGAAGGGTCACCGAACCTGAAACGTTAACTCTGATTCTTCTTTGCAGATGCTGCTAGACCTGCTGAGCTTTTCCAGCAACTTCTGTTTTTGTTCCTGATTTACAGCATCTGCAGTTCTTTCGGTGTTTCTTTGACTAGGACTCATTTCATGCTAGGAGCTTGGACGGGGCAGAATTTGTAAGGACCATTCAGGAGGTTTTCTTGATACAGTATGTAAACAGTCCAACCAGGGAAGAGGGTATACTGGACCCGATTCTGGGAAATGAGTCCAGCCTGATGAGTGAAGTTTCAGTGAGGGAGCATTTTGGGTGTAGTGACCGCAACACCATGAGTTTTAAGATACTCATGGATAGGGATAACAGCAGTCCTTAGGTGAAGGTATTAAACTGGGGCAAGGTGAACTACAACAACATTAGACAGGAACTGGAGAATTTTCATTGGAAGCAGCTGTTTGAGGGTAAATCCACGTGGGACATGTGGGAGTATTTCAAACAACAGTGGATTTGAGTTCCGGAGCAGCACATTCCTGCAAGAATGTAGGACAGGTGTGGCAAGTTACATAAACCTTGGATGACCAGGGATGTTACGCCCTTAGTCAAAAAGAAAAGGAAACATGCATAAGGTCGAGGAGGATGGGAACTGAGGGAGCCCTTGAGGTATATAATGCAAGTAGGAAAAAACTTAAAACAAGGAACTAGAAGGTCTAAAAGGTGTCATGAAAAGTCAGTAGCAAACTGGATTATGGAGAATCCCAAAGCTTTTTATACATATATAAAAAGCAAGAGGGTAGCCAGGAGAAGGGGTGCCCACTTAAGAACAAAGGATGAAATTAATGTGTGGAGCCAGAAGAGGTTGGTGAGGTCCTATTTAAATACTTTGTGTCGGCATTCACCAAGGAGAAGGAATTCGTGGAGGATGATCTCAGGGAAGGGTGTGTCGAATTTCTAAGCCAAGTTGCTATTGGAAGAGATATTGTGTATCTTAAAAGTATTAAGGTAGATAAGTCCCCAGGTCCTGCTGGGATCTATCCCAGAATAATGAGGGAGTCAAGAGAACAAATTGCTGGAGCATTGACAAACATCTTTGTATCCTATTTGGCCACAGGTGAGGACACAGAACTGGAGAATAGTCAACATTATCCCATTGATTAAAAAGGGTAGCAGGGATAATCCAGGAAATTAAAGCCTGTGAGCCTCACGTCAGTAGTAGAAAAATTATTGGAAAAGATTCTCAGGGGCAAGATCTATATGCATTTAGAAGCGAACAGTTTGTGCAGGGAACCTCATACCTCACTAATTTGACCTTGGACCATTGGGGAGAGTTGTTTAAATGGCACAAATAATCCCTTAACATACTCAAGAGTGCGAAATTGATAAAGTTTAAGCAATAAAAACTGGAAGTGCTGAAGAAACTCAGGTCAGGCAGCTTCTATAGGACAAAGAACAAAGAACAAAGAAAATTACAGCACAGGAACAAGCCCTTCAGCCCTCCAAGCCTGCACCGATCCAGATCCTCTATCTAAACCTGTCGCCTATTTTCCAAGGATCTGTATCCCTCTGCTCCCTGCCCATTCATGTATCTGTCTAGATACATCTTAAATGACGCTATCACACCCGCCTCTACCACCTCCGCTGGCAACGCGTTCCAGGCACCCACTTAAAGAACTTTCCATGCATATCTCCCTTAAACATTTCCCCTCTCACCTTGAAATCGTGACCACTAGTAATTGAGTCCCCTACTCTGGGAAAAAGCTTCTTGCTATCCACACTGTCTATACCTCTCATGATTTTGTAGACCTCTATCAGGTCCCCCCTCAACCTCCGTCTTTCTAATGTAAATAATCCTAATCTACTCAACCTCTCTTCATAGCTAGCGCCCTCCATACCAGGCAACATCCTGGTGAACCTCCTCTGCACCCTCTCCAAAGCATCCACATCCTTTTGGTAATGTGGCGACCAGAACTGTACGCAGTATTCCAAATGTGGTCGAACCAAAGTCCTAGACAACTGTAACATGACCTGCCAACTCTTGTACTCAATACCCCGTCCGATGAATGAAAGCATGCCGTATGCCTTCTTGACCACTCTATCCACCTGCGTTGCCACCTTCAGGGTACAATGGACCTGAACACCCAGATCTCTCTGTGCATCAATTTTCCCCAGGGTTTTTCCATTTACCGTATAGTTCGCTCTTGAATTGGATCTTTCAAAATGCAGGAAGAGAAATAGAGTCAAATGTTTTGAATTTGATAGAACTCTTCTTCAGAATTTTAACAATATAGCCTCATTACATAAAAGAAACAATTTGAAGCAGAATGCCCAGTCCACTGCTTGTGAATGAGTGGTTAGCTGGTCCATCAGTTTCTAAATGCAATTTTAGAAACAAAACAGGCATGAAATTCAATCATTGGGATTATTCAGGAGCCTACCATTACCTGGAGTCATAGAGATGTACAGCATGGAAACAGACCCTTCGGTCCAACTTGCCATGCCGACCAGATACCCTAAATTAATCAATTTAGTCCCGTTTGGCCCATATCCCTCTCATTCCTTACTGTTCATATACCCATCCAGATGCCTTTTAAATGTTGTAATTGTACCAGCTTCCACTGCTTCTTCTGGCAGCTCATTCCATACACGCACCACCCTTTGAAAAAGTTGTCCCTTAAGTCCCTTTTACATCTTTCCACTCTCACTTTAAACCTATGCCCTCTAGTTTTAGACTCCCCCATCCCGAGGAAAGGACCTTGGCTATTCATCCTATCCATGCCCCTCATGATTTTATAAACCTCTATAAAGGTTATTCCTCAGCCTCCGATGATGCAGGGAAAATAACCCCAGCCTATTCAGCCTCTCCCTACAGCTCAAACCCTCTAACCCTGGCAACATCCTTGAAAAGGTTAAGAAAAGATTTACAAGTTTCACAATATCCGTCTTACAGCAGGGAGACCAAAATTGCACGCAGTGCTCCAGAAGTGGTCTAACCAATGTCCTGTACAGCCACAACATAATCTCCCAACTCCTATACTCAGTGCACTGATCAATAAAGGCATTTTCCTGTCTCCGTGGGACTCCACTTTCAAGGAACAATGAATCTGCACTCCAAGGCCTCTTTGTTCAGCAACACACCCTTGGATCTTACCATTAAGTCTATAAGTACTGCCCTGATTTGCTTTTCCAAAATGCAGCACTTCACATTTATTTAAATTAAACTTCATCTGCTACTCCACAGTCCAATGGCCCATCTGATCAAGATCCCGTTGTACTCTGAGGTAACTTTTTTCACTGTCCACTACATCTCCAATTTTGATGTCATCTGCAAACCTACTAACCATACATTTTATGTCTACATCCAAATCATTTATATATGTGACAAAAAGCAATACCATCCTATTGTTGTGGCACACTGCTGGCCACTGGCCTCCAGTCTGAAAAGCAACCCTCTATCACCACCTTCAGTCTTCTATTGTGTGGCAGTAAGCACCGTAAAGATTTTGTCATATTAACGCTCACAGCACATAGCTAACCAGTCGACGTGACACCATGATCCCAAACTTAGACTGAGAAGTCCCATGCACATATTTGTTTAGCTTAGGATAGAATCATAAGATGATTGTAGCATACAAGGTGGCCATTTAATCTAACCTTTTTGTGCTAGCTCACCGACAGAGGAGTGCAGATAGATGCATCCCAACCCCTGAGGTTCACTCTTTCTCCATAGCCCTGTCATTACTCAGATCTTGAAATTCCCTTCAAGGAGCCACGCTAGTATCTGAGGTAGTGGGGAGAGCTTCCCTGCTTTATATACTTCATGATCCCAACTAACCTATTGAATTGTTTTCCAACAGTCTCTCCCAAAGAAAACAACTAGTCTTTCCAATTATCCTTCACCTACCTTTGCTGCATCCTGTCTAGAATCTTCACACTACTGAGAATTGGACGCATTCTAAAGCTCCATCGGGAGGCTTTAAACTAGGCCCTGCACAATGTTTCTTAAAGAATCAGATATTTAAACTGGAGTCAGGGTCATTTTTGACAACTTTTTTATTGGAGAGTTTTCAGAAATCATTGAATCCCTGCAGTGCCATTCAGCCCATCAAGTCTACACCAACCATCCAAAGAACATCTCACCCAGACCCACCTTCTACTCTCTCCCTGCAACCCTTGCATTTCCCATGGCTAATCCACCTAATCTACACATCTCTGGATAGTATGGGCAATTTAGGATGGTCAATTCACCAAGCTTGCACATCTTTGGACCGTGGAAGGAAACCAGGGAAACTTAATGGTAAAGTCCCAAGGAATGTTGCTGAACCTTGGTTCTTAGTTCCTTGAAAGCGGAGTGCCAGGTAGACAGGATAGTGAAGGCAGGGTTTGGTATGCTTGCCTTTACTGGCCAGTGCACTGAGTATAGGAGTTGGGAGGTCATGTTGTGGCTGTACAGGGCATTAGTTAGGCCACTTTTGGAATACTGCGCAGTTCTGGTCTCCCTGCTATAGGATGTTGTGAAACTTGGAAGGGTTCAGAAAATATTTATAAAGGTATTGCCAGGGTTGGCGGGTTTGAGCTAGAGGGA